AAATTTAATGAATTCCCGTAACCTGATGGTTTTTATGAATAACGATCCTTAGTATTATAAGACAAAGTGGGGGTGGTTACTAGTGGTCTACGTTTTTTTCGAAATTCAACGTTCATAACTAATTTATGCACAAGACATCCGGTTTTCTTCTTATTTGAACTATTAGACATAGTTTTACTCTCTGTCTCTCGTGTGTACCAATAATGATACATTTATTATAATCATAATAAACACTAGCTATCTGCCATACAATTTTAGTCTGGCCTCGATTTTCATTGCTACCGTTGTTACGATAATAAACAAAATCTCCATTATCCATTTTTACGGTGACAGCATAAACCGCTAAACGTACTTAAATCTACTTAATATCGGAGAAATCCGATGGCAGATTTAGCTCTTACATAATCTCTGTTTAATCAATGCAAAATTATATAATGCCGTCAAAGATAAAAAAAAATCTTTTCTTATATTTAGAATTATATATACATTATAAAATAACATCATAGACTGAAAGTGATCAGTAACCCCACAATAATCCAAATTAGATTATTAAATGACAACCCAGACTTTATCTGACGGCTGTTTGTCGCCAGTATGTGTATAGCTAAGTTATGGCGACTCATTCATAGTTTGTAAGATATGTTGTTTTCAGTAACAAATATAGTTTCTCCGTCTAAACGACAGCAAATTGAGAGATTAGACGTCAATGAAAAATCTTGTAAATAATGTAATCGTATTATTATTAATCAACACAGTTCAGCTCTCTGTTGTTGTTGTTTATTACAAGTGTAACGTCCAACACATTAATAATGATAGGTCGATTTAATTCAGATTGTTTGCTTATGAAAGCGGCAGGAAAAAGAAAAAAAAACATTGCCAGATTTTTATATGTAAAATTGCCACTTTAAGACAGTGTTGAAATTCACTGTCCTGAGAAGAGCAATCGCATCATCTTCTCTTGGGCTCTTTATTACAATGGTTTATTTATAATAATATACAGCGTCAGAGGTGTTCCCGCTGAATGTCTTTGAAATCTGTTCTTTGATTGTATTGAAGCTGTGTCGTTTCTTTGGGTTTTCCTCCCAGCAATTCTTCATCAGATCATAATGACTGTAAATAATATTTAAATTACAAATCATAATTTCAAAACACCAAACCCATAACAACACAAATAATGGATACAAATATTCCAATGTGGTCACAAACCGTAACGACTATAGATATTAAAAGTAATAAATTATTACATTTGTTGATATATTATTAGAAATCGGAAGAAATTCAGGCATGAATTATTATTATTAAAAATTCATAGTGTATGCAAATATTTAATTAAAGTATTACGACTAAGAATAAGGGTTACAAAATTTATAATGCGTATAGTAACCATAATGTAATGGCCTATCGTTTTCTTTATGCCTTAAAGGACAACATATTTACAACATATAAAATCTACATACAATTCAAAATGTCAAGAGTAATTTTAAAAATGGTATCCTTACAATTCTTCGCATATTTCAGGTTTGTACAACCTGTATCCAGATTTCACTTTACTTTCTACGTCACGACTCTTCATATCACTGTATGGTGTCTCTCCTGTAATTGATTATTATTAGCTTTTTTATATCACTTTACCGGTCTTCATTATCCTAGTCGGAGCAAAACAGTAGGACGTTAAACCCCATTTCATTTAATTTCATTTATATCACTTTACTGTGTCGCGTCCGTAGTCATTATTATATTATCTATAATTAAGAACTGGTCTGGTGTTACTTTCTGATTATTTGGTAAGTAAGTTCGCATATCTAGTAATTTATATTGTACATTTGCTTTATATGCTACGTAAATAAAGACGGGTTTAATTAATTAATAAAATAATGCTCACCCAAACTGAATATTTCCCACAATACAACGCCATAAGACCAGACGTCACTCTTTTCATTAGCATTTGTTAAGGAAACTAGACATTCTGGTGCTGTCCATTTAATAGGAATTCTTTCCTGGATTCAAAGATAAAGTATCTTTTGAATTTTCCATATTTGAATATTTGAACGTGTATTTGAAAATCTTCGGCTTCGTCATAAGTTTATCTACCTTTGATCCGACATACCGCCTGTTTTAAAGGGAGAGAGAGAGAGGGGGGGGGGAGAGTAACGTCCACTCGACACAAACTAGGTCATTGCGGGACTAACTTATGGTTCAATTTTATTTCAATGTTTAGCTTGCACTTTCGCGTACGGTCCTTTAGCAGTGGACGGAAACCAGAGGACCCGGAGAAAACCCACGAGGTTGGAAAGGCGACCCTACTCCTTGACACGTACAACCGGGGAATCGAAACCACGCCAGTTGACTCAATGACAGACATTAGGTGCCAAAGAATAGCGATTGGGATCCTTTAAAATAATACATCTGCTTACCTTTAAATTGATTATTCATGATCTTATTTTCAAGTATCTAAATATTTGCATTTCTAATTACGAAAAACATCAATAATAGTCAAAGTCTATTCACCTTCGCTTTTGAAGCGTTATCATAATTAGTAGTTTCTTCTTCTGGTTTTGACGGTCCGAATCCTGCAATCTTTGCTTCTCTTGTAAATGTTAACAATACATTTCTTGCCGCCAGTTTCTTGTGAACAATCTAAACGAAAACAAAACTATAAGAGCGAAGTATCTTTTATTGAAATAAAATAGCAATACAAAGGTTTGATAGATATTTTAACTACTCAAATGAATTTACATAAAAGAAGCGTGATGTAAGATTTAGATAAAGAGTTGTCCGTTCTTGCTATAATTAATGCAAAATGAATGTATTGAAAACTTCATTCAAATTTCTTTAGTCTGAGCGAAGTTATCATGTTTCTAGTTAATATGTGTACTTTGATTGTTTATTATAGTAAACACCGTACTGGTTGTTCAAGACTTAGTCTTGCTTCTCCATTTTTAAATTAAATCATTAAATGGCCGAACCTTTCTAATCATCTACTTAAAATCCGAGCCATCCGTTCGGCCAGAGAGTCTTGTCATGTTAATAAATGTCTAATTAATAGTTTATATAACATTTAAGGTCTAAAGAAAGGCCTGCAACAGGAACATTTACCTGAATGTGCCTCTTTAATTAAAAGTACTGAATGAGGCAACTGAAATCATTACCTTTCTAGAAGCAAGGTAAGCCATTCCTTTACATACATCAAAGGCAATTCTTTGTAAAATCTCAATTAGATCATCGTTAACATCACCACGCTGTTTTAGTAGCCATTTATCTAGTTGTCCCAGTTCACAATATTCTAATATCAACACTGGTCCCACTAAAATATATTAATATCGGTAATACAACACTATTAACAATATTTTAATATCAACACATGGCCCATTAAAAAATAGTAATACAGATAATACATTTATAATATTCTAATATCAACACTGGCCCAACTAAAATATAATATCGATAATACAACATCATTTACAATATTCTAATATTAACACATGTCCTACTAGAATATAAAGTAACGACGATATCACAATACCATTTACAATATTCTAATATCAGCACTGTCACAATAAAATATAATATAGATAATACAATACAATTCACAATATTGGAATATCAAAATATATCTCACTAAAATATAATTATATTCATGACACGCCACGATTTACAATATTCTATAATATCAACACAGCAATTCTATATCATACTTTACAACCTTTAAATATCTAGACCGGCTTATTTCTAATGTGATGATTTGAAAATCATAATATCAAATGTTATATCCCAACCACGTGGGTTTTCTCCCACTGCTAAAAAAGAAACTACCCCCCTCTCTCTCTCTCTCTCTCTCTCTCAAAAAATATTATATCACTAAAAGATAGCCGTAGAGCAACTTATCCAAATGAATACTTGGATGTTGACCAAATGGCGGCCACCAAGAAATCTGATTTCTATCGTGTTTACAAACTTGGAAAACATCCGTTAAGGGCTGTAGCATATATTACACTCTTCGGGTTTTCGGAATAGGTCTCTAGCCGCTGAATATAGACAGGGTTCGCCCGCTTTTGAACGCAAGCCAATTGTTGACGGACCGACGGGATAAATAAATCGCAACAAGATTCAGTACGAGGTAACAAGTAATGTCAGTGATAAACATATTTCAAGAAGGTGGTCCTAGAACCGAACCTTGAGGACGCTATAAGTATAAGAAACGGGTAAAATTAAAAACATATTTCATAAACTAAAGTGTACTGCCAGTGTCATCTATCTAAGTAGAAGACTTAAGACGAGTTACACAGTTATTCAATAAACTATCCATAGTACATTTGTTCAATAGAATTCTCTAAATATATTTAGTCAAGGGCTTTCTTAAAATGGGACATTATTCCATTCCAACCCATTTGACAGGTTTCTAAAAAAGACATAATAAAACACTGGACCTTTTTAGGATATGGCTTTCGAATTATTATTACGGACGTATAGAAATAACTATAATCATACCTTAATACATTCTGTCCAAGAACTGTACTATAATAATATAAAATACTTACAGACTTCATTATCCACAACAGCGCCAATAAACTCTAGAACATTTGGATCTTTACCAACTACTGTTGCATTATAATTTACCTTGGCCCTCATGAAAATTTCATCTTCAGACGTGTATTTATCTATTACACAAATACAACAATAATAGTTAATACAAAACGAATCTTTAATTATATGTATATTTTTCACCCTCAAAAGAGACACTAGCAAAAGGTATAATTTAATAAACATTAATAAATGTTGTCAATTTAAGAAGCTTATTTTTGCAGGTTACATATTAACTTCCTGGTACCTGCTGTACTCTGTATTTTCTAATTTATGGATGTCTTCATACGCGCCAGATCTTATTTTAGCTTTCTTATATCGTCTAATTCCGCTTTTATAATTAGAGTCTCTGTCATATAAGAACGGAAGTGTAATACAATTATGTACTCTGTTTCTAAGAGACTTATTCAATTACCTACCTTTGAGCATTTTGGCTACAACTTGTTCTGACCTGGATCGGATTGTTGCTTGACAAATCTTAGCAAATTTGCCAGTTGTAATAGTTCCCAGTAGCGCTAAGTGGTCGTGAGGAATCAGCCAAGATTGCCCTTTCTTGAAATCCATTCCACCATACAAATATACGTCATCATCCTCGACACGATAAGCATTGTTCTGTTAAAAGAAAAGTTTTAAGAAAGTTAAGAAAGATATTTTGGCTTAATCACGTGTTATGAAATACTCTGTTAGTTCACTTGTTATTATGTAATACTCTGTTAGTTCACTTGTTATTATTTAATCTGTGTTAGATCACTTGTTATTATATTCTGTGCTATTATATAATGCTCTGTTAGTTCACGTAATCACGTGTTATTATGTAATGCCCTGTTAGTTCATTTAATCATATGTTGGTATGTAAAACCCGGTTAGCTCACTTAATCATGTGTTATTGTGTAATACTATGTTAGTTTAATTAATCAGTATGTAATACTTGTTTTTGTTTACTCACGGGATAAGATGAAGAAGATTTAGCAGTATGTTGGTTTGTTTCTGTTGATTTACCAATCATATTCCTAACAAATACCGATCCCCTTTCCTTACTTTCCCTGGTAAAAGGTTTTCGGTTGGTGAGGAACAGGATAGTCAGTACAACTAGGCCAATCAACACTATTACGGCTGTCAAAAGATGAATCGTAAAGATTTTATTGTACGTATATATTGTAACAGTTTGCGTTTTCGATTTCAAAGCCATTATCTGAAATCATGACGTTACATCTGTATTTTAAGTTTGGTTATAGGTCAAGATATGCAGACATTAAAATCAACTTTTAAGTATCTTATAAATTTCATTAATATTTACCTATAACTATGCCAGCTATGCCACCGCCTGATAAAACTTCTGCAGCTATACAACAAAATACATAATTAATGTTTTATTATGTGGGTGTACTTATTAACCTACAGACATAACCCCTTATTTATTTCTAATTGGATTTCAATGTACAATTAAAAATAACAACATTTATCCCGATTAGATGACGGATATTGATATCTAGCGTTACTAAAGTAAATAAATTCATACTGCACCGATTTGATATTGTGTTCTACTCACCTGGACCTGCAATATGAATTTTCAAAATTCTTGTAAATTGTACACTGGAAAATGTATATGCAGACAACGTGACAAGAGATGAGTGTATATTAACCTTACATGGAAACTTAATGACGTTGGAACGTAGGATGTTTGTGTAATATAACTATAAGATAATGAGAGAGAGAGAGAGAGAGAGAGAGAGAGAGAGAGAGAGAGGGGGGTTTAACGTCCACTCGACACAAACTAGGTCATTTTGGGACTAACAAATGGTTTTAATTTTATTTCAATAATTCGCTTGCGCGTAGGGGTCTTTAGCAGTGGGAGCAAACCGGAGGACCCGGAGAAAACCCACGAGGTTGGACAGGCGACCCTACTCCTTGTCACGTACAACCGGGGATTCCAAACCACGCCAGTTGACACAAGGACAGGCTTTATGATACAGCGCGCACGTGCTAACCATTCGGCCATCCACCCCCTCCATAAGATAATGACACAAACTGTGTTGAAACAATATGTTAATAATCCGGGCCTTTTTTTTATTAGACTACGTTAAATTATTGATAATTGTCAGAAAATTTTGTGTGAATATGCTTTGTATGTAAACAAAGCCAATCAAAAAAAGCAAGCAATAACTTATTACAACATATATTTGTGTAATTAATATGTTATCAAATAATAATTACCTAAACACGCATTTGAAACTTTTCTTATATCACTAATCTATAACAAGAAACATACATGATTTTCAAAATTTTAAAAATAACTTTACCTGCTCTGCAAATATCATTATATTATTTATTTAAGAAATAAAATAAATAAAACATTAGACTTTTTCTCGTGGTTTTAAATATCACTAAATAATATGAATAGAATTTTAAATAGCCAATTACATTTTGAATTGGCAACAAATATAATATTATTTTTTAAATTTAATAAAATAATGACAGTGTGAGTTTCAAACTAATTGATCTACTGACTTTATTAAAACAGCATAATCTTTGTGTGGCGTTAAAAGGTCTGTTTAACCTATTCAGCAATCCGTGGTCATTATGCCAGTCGGTGCAGACAATTCAGGGATATAATTCTAAAATTTTGTACCTTATCAACGGTTTCGCTGGATCCAATCATTGCTTGGTTCATAACAGAAAAGCTCAACTCCACTGTTACTGAATTGCTTAAACCAGCTATTGCTATCTGACAATTATCAAAAGACAGTTCAGCTTTTAGTGGAAAACATTGACCAAATTTAGTAATACACGAACACTTTGTCACATCACTGCATTTCTGGAATGAAAGTAAAGATGTTTTGTCAGCAATGTTAGCTCTGTGTTTAATTCTACCAGTAAGGATAATAATAATACAGACTCTACAACTGGTTTTATTATGTATGTAAATTTGAATTTAAAAGATCTTTCAGTAGGGCGTTCCAAGCTACAAATGGCGATTTTTTGAGTCCATCGATCAAATTTGTGTAATTTGTGTGTCTAAATTAACTGTTTCGATCCTCTTCGATAGACAATAATTGTTCCAATTCATGCATATGGGTGGTCCGCTTCTTCAGGAAATCAACTGATTCAGTGACGTCACTTTACAAGTTTGGGCATATTTTTTGTGCCCATAACAAGTCACAAAGGACCGCTCCCCCACCCCCCACTCCCAAACTCACATCAGCTTATTCCTAGATAACGAACACACAGTCTCCCTATTAGTACAGTTGGATAAATTCTTCGACGACCGGCCAATCTATAGCACATTCGTTTAGGGGCGTTATACACCAACAGAGCGGGCGTAGATAATTCAGATATCTTAAAATTGGTTCCCACATAAGCCGACTCAGGTTAGAGGCTGAGGAGAAATACTGGCCAGAAAGTAGAAACAGAATCATAGGATCACAGGATGTTGTATTGTTACCTTCACGGGCTGGTGCTACATTTATTAAAAGTGGGAACTTTCAGAGGAATAGAAAATATCATTGTTTTACATTATTACACTAATGTGTTATATATAATACAGATAAGTCCGCAGTTCTTCAACATATCATCTTTTTCATGAAACATGGTTTTGTAAAGAAGTTAAGGACATATGGGTCCTTTCATTCTTTCTGTATGATCACAAACGCAGTACCAGTAATTCAGATTTACTCAAATTAATGGTCAGTTACAATTAGTACTGTTGGTTGATTCCCGAGATCTTGGACCTAACCAGATCTATTGCATCCGCGTTTAAGTTATCCAACGTTTCTTTGAAATACAGACATAAACAGTTACATGGTTTGTTAGTTGACGTTGGAACTAATCCATTGCATAAAAATCAATTGTTTGTTTTAGATACAAAGCTGCTAATACCATAAAACACTCCCAAATTTACTATAATAAAGTAAGAACTGGGGTTAGACTTTGAAAATAGATTTTCAAGATACATGAATCGAATATAAGCAATTATGTCCCATGGCAGTGTACATATAGTGTTATCGTTATCAATTTAACAAATTCATTACCTCGAGTTTAGGCCAAGGAAGTTGTCCAGTTGCGTATTCTGTATTAGTATCTAGTCTAACCGCACTCCACGAAATAAGAAGTACACCACTATCAGGATCTCTGGCTGCACACGACAAACTGAAGAATAAAATAATTCTTAAGTGATAAGCCCAGAAATCAAAAAAGACGGTTGATAAAAATCCTAATTAAGTACAAATTGATGTTTAGGATACAAATCGAATTTTTTAGATTACAGGCTGTTGTCCGAGTTTGGATGTTACATGTAACATAATGTAAACGATTTTTTATATGACACATATCAAACTTGTATAAACCTGTGAGATTATGATAAGACTGGTATTTTTATTATGGATGCATTTTTTGTTTTGTTTAGTGTAAAAACATATAGTTTATGTGAGATTGAGCACTTGAATTTAAAAAGGTAAGCCCAGGATACCTACTGACCATCCCCCCCCCCTTTCCCCGTTTCTTACCTAGAGGTCTTGTCCGGGGAGTCTGGAGAATGTTGAAATTCTAACGTTGTAACAACGGGTGGCGTTGAATCAAAATTGACTTGAGTCGATTCTATCTTTTCCCTCCCGGTGGCATCAATAGCTTTGACATATACAATTACTGTGTCGCCATCACTTACAGAAATGTTTAACGTCTGGATAGTAGAAATCGGATCTGTTAAATTGTCCCAAAATTTCAGTTCGGCTGGTTTGTTTTTGCCACCGTTGCTGTCACGATGATGTCCAATCTGAAACTTTGTAATTCCTCGGGTATTGGGAACAGCTTGTTGGGTTCGCCCAGCAATGTTTTTGTATTTTTCATCTATATATTTTTCTTCTGATTTGTCTTCGCCGTGAAATTGAAGTGGGTAGTCAAGGATTTTATTTAATAAATGATTCTTCTCGACGAATTCGTTAAAGAAGTAGTTTGTCCAGTTAACTCTAATAATGCCGTCCATGTTTCCTTGCCAGGTGAAGTTAGATTCAGGGGAAGCAGACGTAACTCGCAAGCGTGTATTTGGGTCATCCGATAGTTGAATATTACTATTAGAGTTAGGGTCGTAAAGACAAAATCGTCGAATATAGACAGAATTATTGGCTGTATCAGCAACTTGTAATATGATAGAATACAGACCGGGTTCAGTTAAAGTGTAGCTAGGATAATCTATGTTACCCGAATGATTAACTTCTGCTATTTTAATTGGACCAAGTGGAACTTGCTCACGTAGTTCCTCATCGCCATTTGCTTTGAGTTGAAATATTTCCCACGCATACCGGGCAACACCAGAAAGTTGATCTTCCCATCCATTCCATCTTAAGTTAAGAGTAGGATCCTGAAACATTTACCAAAGAGAAATATTCAAATAACAAAATGCCTTGACCTTTTCCCGATTAATATCGTTGATATCTGTCTTTCTTTGGTGTTGGTTTCGGTCGTTATTACTCATGCTGTATATAAGTCCCTTAGTATATTTAGATTTTTGTAACAGGATAATATCAAAGAGAGTTTCACGGTACGACAGCTCTGCTTCTAACAGAGCGAGGATGTTCAAACTTGGTACAGTTCTTCATGGGGTGAATGTCTTGAATAAATTCGATGACGAACATTTTTTTGCTTAGGTTGGACAGCAATACGCATTTCATTGGCTGAGACCTTGGGACACAATTTCTTTTTGGTATCTTCATGGATCGATAATAATGGACTATTTCCTGGTCTTCTCCATACATTAGCCACAGCACAAAAAATAGGGAAAGAACAAGGCATTTGGGCCAAAACGTATAACGATTTTTAAAAAAAAAAAAAAATTTCACGTTAGCTATATTGACTCTATTGACTTTTAACAAATGCTATAAAATGAGAACATTTTGTTACTTATGATTTTTCTAAATGATGTGTGTTGGTATCACTTACCTGTCTGTATTCAGCGCCGTATTCTAAAAGTGTTTTGTTATTAGGGCAGTTTGGGAAACAATGTTTTGGTTTGTCAAAATCGAATCTGTACGTTAAAGTTTTGGACATGGTAGTTTGTGTGTAGTACTGTTTCCTGTAGTTAGCACCACTGTCAATATTTTTTAACTGACGATAACCGCCTGCATGGGCTGTAAATGTGATATTAATTCTGAAAAAAAACCATACAAAAGTCAGTTTTATTTCGGAGGGGAAATAAATCATTGACTACTGTTTCATAGCACTATGATAGTATACATCTATCAGCTTTTGTCAGCCTTTAGATACAGGACTACCACATCAGGTGTTTGTTGTATACGACATAAATGACTAAAAAAACTTACTAGGTCTACATTGAAATAATGCAAATAATCAAAAACAAAAGTCATTCATTGAAACTCCCGATTATTCAATAAAGTATATATTACAACACCATACATTATTCATTCATATTTTTTTTAATCGCGGCAAATCCAGCTTCAACTGTTGTGGCAACTGATATGAACTTTTCACCAAAGAATACAACGAAACGAAAAATCAAAATTTGTAAAATAAAATATTCTCACTATAAATGTTCATTCTACGACACTACATTAATTTATTCTTTCAGAATATTTAATGGTGTTAGCACTTGTCTGGAGTCATAATTATTTGAGGGCTGTGTGATTCCGTGGTAATATGACGAACTGGTGCGGCTGTCAAAGGACATGGGGATAGGGATGACGGGTTGGAGGTTTTCGACTATTTAATGGTGTTAGCACTTGTCATGGAGTCATCATTATTTGCGGGCTGTGTGTTTCCGTGGTAATATGACGAATTGGTGCGGCTGTCAAAGGACATGGGGATAGGGATGACGGGTTGGAGGTATTCGACTCTCTGACCATCCACATTGGTTGATTTGTTTCTATATTCTAACAGCAGATAGATAATTGATGACAGTTTCAGTACTCGAATCAGTATTTTGGACAACTGTGCCTCGTTCAGGTGTTACACTTATACAAAAATGCCAGAACTTTCTACATGGCATGCACAGGGTTAGAAACATCTATGTCTTATTCAAATTTGTGTGTCAAAATTAACTGTTTTTCGCGTTACTGCCCTTTCTAATTGATAACTTATAGTTTTCGTTCCGTCATGGCGGGTTTTTAACGTAGACATATAGAAAGTGGGTTTATTTTTCAAGTTGATTATAGTAATTACCACCTTTATCGTTATGTTGTTAGAATACAGAATGGCAGTCTTCGTGTATTACCTTTAAAATACCTTTACATTAGTAAATTGTATAAATAGAATACATCTCGCGATGCCTACCTGTCTCCCGATTCAGTAAGTAAGTTGTTGGGGTGGTTTTTGATAGTACAGTTGAATATACCACTTTTAGGGCTGTCTTTATTCACATCGGTATCATCACACACAACTTGATCGGGGTATGGGACAGTGCTACCATTCACTTTTAATAAAAAACCCAAAGACACATTGTCAAAAAATGTACATTAAGTTAACTCTTATTTCCTGGCGGAAACGCAGTTTAATTAATTCCTGCTTAGTAAGTTTGATCTTTACTGAAATTGTTTAGGGAGTTTTGTGCAGATACCCGGGTTACCTTCCACTAAGCTCCGAAGCGGAATATTGAATAGAAAAAAAATCATGTTTGTTCCGAAATGTTAATGATGCGTGGGCGTTAAACAACTCTGCTTTATATTTAATTAACGTCGAAAATTGACAAGACCCACCTTGGATAATCTAGAGATGAACCGACATAAGGATGACTTCGTGTTGATTATCATTTAAAGCTTCTAATCCTCTTAGATTTAGGTCAAAATAAAGTGTTGAATTGGGTTGACCTATTATTGCGATTGGTGACGAGACGAGCTCCAGGCGATTACATTTTTGTTTCGAAGAATTAATCGATGATTCTAAATTTAGTAGAATTAATTTTCAGCCGTATCAAAGAAGACCAGTAAATTTAACTTCAATCTTTTGATTGTCCAACATTGTATGTCTCTAAATATAAAATATCTGCCACAATATTGGGGTAGTGGATATATACTCACATTTTATATGAACGGTGTTAAATGATCCACCAACAATACCAAGTTTAGCATCAGATATATAATCTGAAGGAATTGGTGGTAAATCTACTGGATTGTAAAAAGCAATCCCTGTATAGTTGACACGGTTAAATCCCTTCCGATTTGTCCATATTTCCGCCGAATCGGTATCATTATTATATGAAGCGTCCAACATTACGCCAAATATCTCCATTTGTTTGGTTGTACTAAATTGCGAAATTCGAACTCGACATTGGTAAATTTCGGGCCTTTCGTTTGGTGAAACCACTAAAAAAATAAGTGAAATTAGTCAACTGATACCCAATTAATAAATCGTGGAAACACGCCCACGTAGACGCTACGGCTTGGAACAGCAGATTATCTCAAACGAAAACTTGGATGTTGATTAAATTTGACAAGGATCTGTCTTCGAGAAATCTGATCTATATCATGTTCGTAACTTTTTCCGGACATGCATTACTATCTCTGCAACAGAAAGTTCTTGAATACTGAAAATAAACAGCTTACAGCATCTCTGATCTCAATGCTTCATAACAAATTTGAAAATCAACTTGGTTCATCCCCGCAGAGTACTAACTATTCACGTGTAAATAGCTAGGGTTTGTCCTTTCATAATTCTTCACACCAAATTGAAATAAAATCCATTAAACACTGTAGCCTATATTGATTTCACAGATGTTCGGAATAGTGGGAGTAGCTGTTCAGAGCTCTTTAAACGAGGATCAGAAAACACAAATTTAAACCATACAGGAATACAAATATACAAGCCTAGTTAGAATCATACTAGAAGACGTGTCTACATCGTCTCTTCTCTCTAATAATATATTAAATAATTATATTGGCATTTGTCGCTATAAAATACAAAATTTCTCACGGTTTAATTCATTAATATGTACTCGGGTTGATTAGTTAACATTAAATTAAGAAAACAACGCCACATAATGTCCCGGCTTGGATTAAATCGGATTTAAATTATCGTGGACAGCAAAATGGCGGCGAGCATATTATATAGATCTGTGTATACTGAAAGGCATTGAACCATTTTTGGACCATTAGAGATTCATCTTTTATAATATATTGTAGTTTGCAAGTTATTCCTATTGTTTAAAATCGCGCATCGGGACTTCAATTTAACAAAAAGACACACCTGTCCATACCATTATGTTAAGGAAAGCGACACTATGTCAAACAGCATGATTTAAGCAGTTACAACACCATCTATTCTAGAAGAAAACCTGGGTTTATTTTCGACATGAACCGAACATTCAGCAAGAGCACTGTTACTGTTTGTGCATGTCGTTAAATTTACTTCAATCATCAAAATATAAAACGCGTGTAGAAGAAATTGGTCTATATTTTTAAGATAATTTGTACAGTACTATTGACAAAATGTTAGCGCAAATGCAGACTTGACAACATCCTTAAATAAAATATGTTTAAATAAAAAAAAATAAATAAACCTTAATTTATTTCTATATTGACAGGTTATCAAACGAGGACAAATTATATCATCCCTTTGTGTCATGTAGCCTACAGCCAGGTCAACTGAAGCAATAAATATACTTACGGGTCAAACATTCCGATCCATTAACTGAACCACTAAATCCATCCGAACAGGTACACCTGCTACCACCACTTGCAAGTTTAGAACAACTTCCCGGATAACATGGCTTCAAATGCGAACATAATTCTGTAAATTGGGAAATATGCAAAATAATGTCGACTAGATTGTAATTAATACAGCTTTTCGGGCAAACGCTCTTTTTCAAGTTAAAACAACGCACATTGCGTGAAGTACAAACAGTAACGATGTGGTGAAACAGCGTCTCTGAATATCTCCCAAATGATATTGAACAGCTCATATTATCAATAATACAAAAATTATACTATGATTCTATTAAGTGCTGTAAATGTGTCGAATACCACCAACTTCTATACTAGAATGAACTGCTAGATTGAAATGCACCACAACAAACGAGAAAATAGGGTCACATCAAGTCATACTAGAGGTGGGGCATTACAGATGTTCTAAATCCATTCTAACAGCATTCTAAATATTCCTGATGTGTTCCAAATACATTTGAGCCGCGTTCGAGAGCTAATACACCCGGAACGTGCAAGAATCATTCGATGGAGGTTCGAGGCGCATTCTAAGTAATCGAACGGCATTCTTACAAAGCTGTAAGAATTTTTGTCAATTTGAAATTACCTTCCGAATGTGGCACGAATTTTGAGAATTCTTCATTAGGCTGGTTCTGCTTGATTCCAGCAGCAGCTGATTCCGAATAAGTATGACAGGACTTAAAGATTTCAGTTCTAATAT